CTACGAACTAATGAACCGTGACGTCAACGCCAAGACACTGTTCACGTACTACACCAAGAACTGTTTTCGTTTTTTTTTAAGGCGACTACGACGACGCAGCACACGTACGTAGGCCTACGGGAGGGGAGTTAGTCGACCGTTGTTTTATTACCAGAGAACAATGTTCCCATGTTTTATATTTAAAAAAAGGAAATGTGAAAAAAAAAAACTTTAGTCAAATGCTGTTTAAAAAATAAAAAAGTTTCCAGAAAACTCTGAGTGATGTTTCACTGTTGCCTAGGATCTACCTAAACTAGGCTAGGCCTAGCCTTGCCCAGCCTAAGTGTCGAAAGAGTCGTTAACCGGGAGAAGAGTGGTGTCAGGCCTGCTCAGGAAATTTGCCAAATGCAACGATGATGTACAAATAAATAAAAATTTTAAACAGAGGTATTTATACCCAGGTAAAAATTCCCATTGAAACCAATTGAAATTTCCAATTGGTCCAATGAGGTTCAATGGGTCCAACTGGTATTTTTCAATGGGTCCAACTGGTTGAACGAGGTTCAATGGGTCCAATTGGTATTTTTCAACTAGTTTAACTGGTATTACCCAATTGGTCCAACTGGTATTTTGTCAAACTGGTATTGTTCAATGGGTTGAACTGGTAATATCCAAAGGGTCCAACTGGTGTTGTTCAATGGGTCCAACTGGGCATTATCGAATGGGTCTAACTGGAATATCCAATGGGTCTAACTGGAATATCCAATGGGTCTAACTAGTATTAACCAATGGGTCTAACTTGTGTTATTCAATGGGTCTAACTAGCATTATACAATGGGTCTAACTGGTATTATACAATGGGTCTAACTGGTATTATCCAATGGGTCTTATTTGAATATCCAATGGGTCTAACTGGTATTATCCAATGGGTCTAACTGGTATTATCCAATGGGTCTAACTGGTATTATCCAATGGGTCTAATTGGATTATCCAATTGGTCTAACTGTTATTATCCAATGGGTGTAACTGGTATAATCCAATGGGTCTAACTGGTATTATCCAAACCCAGGTAAAAACATTGAGACTAGTTGGGATTTTCAACTGTCTAATGGGTTTCAACTGGTTCAATTGGTATTTTCAATGGGTCAAATGGCTTTCAACTGGTTTAACTGGTATTAATCAACGGGTCCAATTGGTATGTTCAATGGGTGTATTGGTTTCAACTGGTCCAATTGGTTACAGAATGGTGGCTCCAAGATTCAACTGGTCTAATTGGTACGACATCAAAGGGTTCAATTGGCTTCAACTCCCAGGTATAAATTCCAGTTGGGACCAGTTGGAAATCCCAACTGGTCTAACTGGTTTTCAACTGGTCCAACTGGAAATTCAACTGGTACATCTGGTCTCCCGAACTGGTTTAACTGGTCCAACTGGTCTATCGAACTGGTTGAACTGGTCCAATTGGTAGTACCAACTAGTTGAACTGGTCCAACGGGTCTATTCAATAGGTCCAGTTGGTCCAACTGGTCTACCCAATAGGTCTAGTTGGTCCAACTGGTTTACCCAGTAGGTCCAGTTGGTCCAACTGGTCTACATTATAGGTTCAGTTGATCCAACTAGTCTACCCAATAGGTCCAGTTGGTCCAACTGGTCTAGCCAATAGGTCCAGTTTGTCCAACTGGTCTACCCAATAATTTCGGTTGGTCCAACTGGTCTACCCAGTAGGTCCAGTTGGTCCAAAACTGATCAACTCAAGGTCCAGTTGGTTCAACTTGTCTACCAAATAGGCCCAGTTGGTTCAACTGGTCTGCCAAATAGGTCCAAGACGAAATTCTTTTCCTTAGAAGAAACGGTCACTGGTGGGTTGGATGATTGATTGCTAATTGCCTGCATGCTGCCTAAACGGCCTTCACAATGAGTAAACAAGACCTTGGTAGTAGGAAAAAATCGGACACAGTTCAGCCAATGAATTACAGACGATCGGGCACACGAGACGATCGGGCCCCAACTAGTGTGGACGATCGGGCTCACCGATGTAGACTTTCAGGCCCATTTTCTAAAACGGCGGGTAGACGTTCGGGCCCATTTTTCCAAAGACGATCGGGCCCATTTCCTCATGACTTCGGCCGCCGATAATTTCGGTCGGACGAAATTTGTATGGGGCGCCATATGGGTATTATCCCAATCCCACACCCACTATTGTGAGTCGTCATCTATGTCGTGGTGTGTGTCTATTTACAGCTAATTCAAGCACAATGCTTTCGTTAATATTTTTCTTTTTTTCAGGTAAGAGGGAATGTGGATTCCGGCTATCAAAGCAATATAGTCGTTGAGACGGTCTATTACGCCTAAGAATATAAATTGTTTGTTTGCCCTTCTTTTTTTAAAATGATAAAAAGGGGCTGGTTGAAAAGAGTTTTTTAAACACATTTTTTTTTATATGTAAAGAACAAAGCAGAAAAAAAGTTTTCTTGCTTTGCCACCCCTATTTTTTTCTCAGGTAGGGGGAAGGTGAGGAGCTAAAGAAAAACATGAGAATAGCAAAATATATAGCATATGGAAGGCTGAAAACATGGTTCCACAGAACAGAATGCACCAATATATATTTGGTAAAATCGGAAGAGGGTGAATTAACTCCTCCCTGGTGTAATAGTCATTCGACTGCCGAAATTGACGAAAACGTTTTGGAAATTTTCGATTGTGCATGCCAAGAAATAGCGGAGCAACAACGCGGCGCTCCATACGTTTTGTCATTTGACGGAGCGCGGCCGAAATTGACCTAGGCAAGCAAAAATGGTTTTGGAAATTATCGATTTTGTCAGAAGACGATCGGGCCCAATATCCAGTTTTCCCTAAAGACGATCGGACCC